TACTTTTTTTCCCAATATTTATAGATCTTGTATTGGAAAGAACATTACCCGAAAAGCACTTATATATATATATATATATATATATATATATATATATATATATATATATATATATATATATATATATATATATATATATATATATATATATATATATATATATATATTAACACCACCCCCTCATCCATCCCATTAGCCTTCAATTATTTTGACCTGTGGCTCAGGGCTTCTTTTTAGAATTGGTGCACGTCGCATACCATGCTAATAGATCTCGTTAACGTTTGTTGAATACAATTGTTTCCAACGAATATTTCATGAATTTGATGTGCCAGTGAATAATATTTCACTACCTGTATTAGTATTAGTATTGTATTAGTCCATTGTTCGTTTCCTTTAGGTAAAGTATTCTTTCAAATTGACATTGATACTACAAAGATTGGTGACCACTTACAAGTAAAAGGGTGAAAAGACTCAAAACTTAACAGTTCCAGCCCTGGCCAAGTCATACCAAAGACTTATGGTACAAAGAACTGAATTAGCATTAAGAGGTTAGTATTACGACTGGTCAAATCTGTGAATATAATGTTCCTTCGTGGGACGTGATGCTACCTGTCTCTGGCATGATGCCCCGGTGCTAGACACCACTATAGGTTCCAACACTGCAGACAGTGTAGTAATATGACTGAGCAATTGTTAAAGCCACGTTAAAAATCGAAATCACACATCCAATATTGCTCTTTTCGACTTTCCATTTATTCAAATGAATCTGCCGACTGATCCCGCCCATCTCCCACGCAGTTTAATACTTTCGATATTCTAAAGATTCACACGAATCGTCTGACCGCCCCTGCCCTTGCCGTATATAGTCGCTTATAAGTCGAGACAAACTGCAAACAACAAAGACCTTGATCAGCCGTAGCGTAATGCACCTGCATATTAGGATCTATTTTGTTTATTCTACTGATTACTCCAAACAACTTCACCAACCCACATCTACCGGCACCTTGGATGCGTGAAGTTTACACTCATGTTGGTCCTATAGTCAAGTATACAGTTGTGGTTTAGAATTCGAATCTGAGTGTATGTGTATGTGTGGATTTTTAACGTAGTTTTAACAATTCTTCAGTCATATTGCTACGATGTCTGCAGTGTGGCATATTATGGTGATGTCTAGCACTGGGGGAATCCTGCCGCAGACATGTAGTATGATGTCCCACCCAGCCACATTATCCTAGCACCAAACCCAACCAGACCTAACACTAACCTCTTGATGCTGAGCGCCAAGCGAACGAGGCAGCTGTTAGTACCATTTTTGTATGTCTATGGTATGACTCGATCGGGGATAGAACCTACGACTTCCCACATGCGCGGCAGACGCTCTAACCACTAGGCAACCGGAGCTGTTAGAATTGGAATCTGATGAAATCGAGATCTCCGATATAATGGAGATCCACACCCATACGAATTCGTGTTCTTTTAATATGCCAATGAAGTTAGTTTTTACATTGGTGAAACTGAAAACCTTCAATCAGAACATATCCTTGTTAACGGTGACTCACGAAATGCAACACATATAGGTTACTAAAAAAAAAGACCGGAAATTCCAATAGTCATCAGAGCGTGAACCTTTGAAGGTGTGTACTAGTTGTGCTGTGAAACTGTATGTAGTCATGTTCCTATTGTGGGTGGGTGGCAGCTACTTTGGGGAATTAGCTGGTAGAGCAAACAAAACAAACGTCTAGACTACATATCTCTTTAATGTTTTTATTTTTTCACTGTCTCCAAATTCCCACCTGGTTCAATCCAATGAAATCTATAAGGTGTTTATAGTCGTCTCTGCACTTGGTGCTTCCACATCTTAAAGTCCATTGATGAACCAGAGGTCCTTTCGGGTCACTCTATGCCCAGGGCTGGGCGGTGACCCCCCCCCTTCGGAGAGAACACGACCCTGGCTTGATGTCACCCTGATGTGGCGTCACTGATCTCCCAAGGAGGCTCTTAGCCCTAGTGCTGGGTTTTTAGCCCTAGTGCTGGGCTTTTTCGCTTTTGACCTTTAAATTTATGAAATGGAACCCGGAGACAGCGAAAAGACGCCACCAAAGCAACACGCAGCCCAGACACCCGCCCACCAAAACGCCCGCCCCCAGCCCCCCCCCCCCAAGCAGCCGACCCGCGCACCACAAGGTATGTGGATGAAGTGGTACATCATACATAATCTATTAACAGCTAGACATTAATGTATGCAAACTTTGACCAATATGTATCACAACAACACACTGAACGTGAGCTTGCACTACCTCGTGGTTCAAAATAATATATATAACATGGCAGAGCATCTATTTAAATCGATTTAAATTACTTACTGCCCCAATGCTGATACGACTTCTTACAGTCCCGGGCTTGGATTGCAGTCCCTTTAAGAGGGCGCTTGGCCTCAGAGCTAGGCCTTTTCCTGAACTCTGATCTTGATCTTGAATCGTATGGTAATCGAACGCAGTTCCGCAACCAGTTCTCCTACCTAGGCCGCAGCCCCGACCCCACCAAAGTCCCCAAAATTTCAAACCTACCTAACTTTATCTCCGTTAGTCTGGCTATTAGGCCAAATTATCACCCGTTTTTCCTACGGGTGTCCCTACGGCAATGTTGTGTTAGCCACCTATTCAATTTATCTAATAATCCAGAGTTGTAAATTTTGAACGTCATTTATTGTGTTTGAATTATTCGTACTTAGCGTACTTCTATGGTCCTAAAGAATTACCAATCTATAGGTGATGGTCACCTATTTTTCAGTGTTTTATCGCCGCTTAGGAGTGGTATGGCTTTTAATTTTGAACGCCTTGCCAAAGGATCTTGTTTATCCTAGGGTCTTCAGGAGCCAAAGTGAAGACATAGGTTGTATAAGCGGCAATCTGGACAGTTGATCGCGCGGCTCGGACGGTCTTTATTTAGGTGATTGTTCTTGTCCAGCGTAGGGGTTTATGGGACAGCAGGGGGAGAGGATTTATTGTCCTGGACTGTCCCTTAGCTTGGAATCGATACCAACACCCTTAGCTTGGAATCGATACCAACACCCTTAGCTTGGAATCGATACCAACACCTAGAAGGTGTTTTGTGTGTGCGTGTGGGGGTTGGGGTTACTGGGACGTCTGGTAGAACTGCCTAACTATCCCTTATTTGGTAATGGGCAATTTTGAACTACATATTCTTTCCATTTTGGCAATGAAAATTGTGTAATCTTTACGATCTACCTGTTTGGTAGTATTGTATGTATGTATGTATGTATGTATGTATGTATGTATGTATGTATGTATGTATGTATGTATGTATGTATGTATGTATGTATGTATGTATGTATGTATGTATGTATGTATGTATGTATGTATGTATGTATGTATGTATGTATGTATATTCATAGCAGACTTCACAGGAGACTACTGATCTCACATTTCTATATCTGCCTTAATTGTTTCTTGTATAGAGAATTTGTATTTCTAAATTAAACTATACATTTGATATCTCACTAATGAGTTGTTCAAAAGCTGATCTAAAAACATAATGATTATAATATATCTGAACAGATTCACGCACACTTTCAACTTCTACTTCAAACTATAATTCTTAAATAGATATCATTTATATGTAAGTGCTGGCAGAGACTGTCAGAATTCATGTATAAATTGTCTATTTCTTTCAAAACGATATACAATTTTTTTTTTCCTATTTAAACAAACTTAATCTACTATATTGTCTCTAATATCCTTCAACATTTTCGAAGTCTAAACTAATTATAAGACTGGTCTTTTCTTACTAGGCAGGATTTGGACAGCTAGACCCAGTTAAACTCAACTATTCATGTCCCTAGGCCATGGGGGTGAGCTTCCCGTAAAGATTATACTTGTATTGTTTTTAGACTGCAGAAGCAGAATATTACTTGAAAATGGATTCTATCTAATAAAACAAGTGAATCCTATCAAATATCCCTACTACAGGTGCCCGTCAGATGTACTTCTTTCAAGGTAGATCTTGGATTGGATTTTGACAGATTACCTTCCGCTGATTACAACGGCGTACAGGTTATACAACCACATAGTTGTGGCTCCTCCAGCCACACAAATCCACCCGTGAATACGACGCATTGATATCCCTTTACATTACCTGGATTCTGGTAGTATTAAAGGTACACCTTTACCTGTTTTTTTTTTCTTCAATCGTGTTCGTAGCACGCTGTTTACTGTAAGGTTGACACAAAGATAGAAAACGCGTAGATCAGCTCTGTGTGCGCAAAGTTTTTGTTACAAGTGTAGCTTTGCGGTGTTTTTAAGAAAGAAAAAAAGAAAAAATATGTTAGAAGCGGTCTAGTTAAACACCGCCAGATAAAAAAAAAACTTTTGAAAGGATTATTACTCTAAGAAATTCAGAACAATTTGCTATCAAAGGTGTATAGCTATGAATTTCTTTGTAACCCGATGATTTGTCTGGGGGTGGGGGAAGGAAGGGAGGATGGCATTGGTGAAAATACTAAACAGACGTAGCTTTAATCATTCTAAAAATTACAAACCGACAAAAATAGTAGCTATTTCTTAATTACAAATATAACCGAGCTGATCGGTTTTATTGAAGTCAAGGAAAGCGATACATGACTCCCTTTTTTTTTCCTTTCGCGGTTTCTACACTGTTATCCTGCTTTGTTATCTCAAACAACCAAAGATGTAATATTAAGTCCAAAATCTCGATCCTTTACACTGGATTTGTTTTCATGAAATTTGGAAAAGAATAACAATCCCACTCCGCATGAACATTTTCCGGAACCATTTGGAAACCGAAGATTTATGACGTCAGAGTATAGAGTACGCTTCTTAATAACCTTCCGCGATAGAGTATTCAATACGCGTAGCCTATTTGCCCAGCGTTTAAATTAAACTTACCTAACAAAATTCATTAGCAGTCTTGAATTCTGCCATATTTACAATCACAATGTCACAACCAATACCTTCTGTATTGTTCCGGTAGCCTAGTGATTAGAGCGTCTGCCTCAGATGCGGGAGGTCGTGGGTTCGATCTCCGGTTGAGTCATACAAAAGACTTACAAAAATGGTAGTAACAGCTGCCTCACTTGGCGCTAAGCATTAGGAGGTTAGTGGTAGGACTTGTCTGCCTGGTGTCAGGATAATGTGACTGGGTGGGACATCATGCTACATGTATGCGGCTTGCTGTCCCAGAGCTAGACATCACTATAAACTGCCACGCTGCAGATATCGTAGCGATATGACTGAAATATTTTAAAAGCTACGTTAATAGTCATAATCACGTCACATCACATCACCAATACCGTGTCAAACACTGCCGTTTGGGTAATTAAATGACATGAGAGCACCGGTCCTTCATTTTTTTTTATGTTATAGGAATCATTGCACAAACTCATGCTTTGTATATTATCTAGACACAAGTTCGTGTTTGTATAATTCATATTTATCCATCCTATGACTATCGATCGTTTGGATTTGTTTTTAATGCCTTGTTATGAATTTGCACGAAGAGCATGCCCTACGTTGAATTTTAAAGACCTATTGATTCTTTCATGTATATTAAAGAATTACTAATTGCCAATTTACTGCGATCATAAATCCCCATCGTGCCAATGACATTAGTGGGCATGGATGAGCATTTCACACACACACACACACACACACACACACACACACACACACACACACAACACACACACAACACACACACACGCACACACACAACACACACACGCACACACACAACACACACACGCACACACACACACAGACACTCACACATTCTCTCTCTCTCTCTGATCAAAATCAAATTTTATAATAATCCAATTTAAGAATTACATGGTGGTAATGTCAAAATTGAAAAACAAAATGTTATTGCTATTATTATCATTAAAATAGGAGAAGAACCATCCTAATATTAAAAAAAATGATTATCACATCATCCAGAAATACCATCGGGATATAAATTAAACTATCACTAACAAAATGAAGATATATTACGTGATTTAATTATAACAAACTTGATATTATAATTCCACTACCGTCAACGTCTACTTTAACAATAACAACAACAATGATAATAATAAGAATAATTACTGCACATAATGCCGTTTTATATAGGGTGTCCTTGATATATAGAAATAAATGTAGGTAAGCATTTTTTTTTACATATCTGCGTCACGGTACTTTTGTAAGTACATTTTGCTTGAACCAAGCTTTATGAAAATTATTGAATGGTTTGTTAGCTCAATCCCTAGGTTGCACTTCAAAGCTCTACTAATCCTAAGTTAATATAAATTCCAAAATCTAATTAGCTAATAGCTTGGAGCAAGTGATAATCAGATTTATTTTACGGCGGGAATAACGTTAACGACTAGCTGACAAGAATTGTTAAGCTGTCGTTAACTAGAGCAAACCAACCAAAGCGATGGAATTTAAAACTCTGTTATTTGATTGGTTCGAAGGACTTGAATGTAATACGACCGGCAAGATTGGTGTGATATATAGAATTTGTTCCAGGAAAAATGGGCTTGACTAGTAAGTATTATATGAATAGTAAAATATATATCAAATCGATTGCACTGATGTTATAAATGAATGCATTTATCCTTGAGGAAGTGCTGTGATATTTCAACAAAATACTCATTGTTTACCATTTGAATGAGTCATGAAGCTTACGGCGTCAGGCTTTAATATCGCATCTTCTTCATGTGAACTGACTTGCAAACTCAAACTTTCTTACTTGTCGATTACTCTTTGAATGAAAGAAGTTTCAAGGAAAACAAAACGTTTTATGATGTAATTATTTACTCAGATATTCTTATCGCTGCAACAACTCCCTTACAAAATTCTTTCGGGTGCATATTCCGTAAGTTATGCACTTTGTCTAGCTAGCTTACCGTTAAATCTCTCAAATTACCTAAAAAACAAAACGTGGCGTTGCTGTTCCATACAACAGCGATTTTGAGATAAGCAATTACGCGTGCAATCAACGCGTGATACGATTCACAGCCGGCAAAGAACGTTATGCATTTTTAGATAATTATTACAACAAAAAAAAAAACTCGTTTCAAAAAGTCTTCTCTTTCATCTGGCATTTTAGAAATTTATAAGATTGCAAATTGGATTTGTGAAAACAAGGTTAATATAATTATTTCCAAAACTCCAAAAAGCTTTGTTTTGATTGCTGTTCTTTTAACCTTTAAATGTGTATAAGCGTTACAAATAATAATAATAATAATAATAATAATAATAATAATAATAATAATAATAATAATAATAATAATAATAATAATAATAATAATAATAATAATAAAAAAATAATAATAATAATATCATCATCATCATCAATAATAATAATAATATAAATAATATAAATAATAATAATAATAATAATAATAATAATAATAATAATAATAATAATAATAATAATAATAATAATAATAGCAACAAAACATCAACATTTTTAATCCGCGTATCTGATCCTGACAGCATTACTTTTGACATAATTCATCTGACATCAGGTCACAAACAAGCTTACTTTCATTTTTTAGAAATTGTCCACCACCATAAACGTATTTTTAACAGCATGATTCCTGGCTTAGCTACAGTTTACGTTTTCGTCATTTTTTATATTCCAGAGCTTTATTTTCATTTGCAACATAAGATTTGGAAATTTGCAAGTTTAGCTTCTCAGCCTAGTCCTCGAGGTCACAGAAACAAATATATAAAATTTACCTATCTAATTTTGCTGTCACTCCCCACGTAGATAAGGCAACACAATCTGTCCGAGGTCATAACTCGGCTCTGACTCTTGCTATATTGTTTTTATTGGTGCACATCGTGGTTTATTTTTTTAAAATGCATTTGTCGATATGAAAGTCCGATTTAAATACTCTTTTTGAATTAAATGGGAAGACGATATTACAATTGGCACCAAAATAAGGACTCGAAATTGTTTGGATATACACCCACAATTGGCGATTTAGTCTTTGCAACTAATCCTCAAAGGGACGGTATCTATTGATGCGTAACCGTCATCACTGGAGGCGAGATTTCTGCTGCTTTAGGTTCGGACCCATTCACGCGATAACCGAATCAAAAGATCCTAAGAAAAATAAAGACTTCAGTCAAGGGCCGTCGAGATATATTATTCATAGAGATTGACTAAGGTGAGAACGGTATGCGCCATTTTTGCTGAAATCAACTGAAATTAATAAAGGTAATGAATATGTAACATTGGTCAATTTATCTTAAAATGTTCATTTCAAAATACATCTAAAATTTATTAATAATGAGAAGTTTACAAGTTTACATCCACTTTTCAAGACATTAACATGTATGATGTAAACACAACATTATTCTATATATTGTTTATAAATGCTTTTTATGTAGAACAAGCCTTACTTTTCCATGGAAAAAATTAAGGACATTTTTTAAAAAATGATTTCTGTTTTTGTATCATTAATAAATAAATCTGATAAAGCTAAAATGTCTTGACGCTCTTATATAAATACAGCTGCAAAAATATCTGAAGAAAAATAAATGCCTCATTTTCATATAAAATTGTTGATATGTTGCTGTCACCAAGAGTACTAGATAATGCAACGTCATGCTTAAATTATTTGAAATGTAAATTGTTTTTCCATTTTAAAATTTAAGAAATGGGAAGATGATTATGTCTGATCTCAAAATGCTGTCGGCTTCACAGGCTCTCGTTTATATTAGTCTCCTTGACAACTATCTTAGACAATGTGTTACGCCATCTAAACCAAAAAGAATTAAGAAACATTTATCAAAATACAGCTAAGCTAAAGAGGTGAAAACAAAATAAGGAGATGATATATACCAGACGCTTTCAAGGTGTTATCGGCATACTTTCACCCTGAGTGAATATCAGGTTATATCTCTTTGTAGTGACAGTTAGTCAAAACAAGGTTCATTAACAATATAAATTCTTGCTTTTACAGTGATGATAAAAACAGATTCTAAGTCCTACGGGCCAGAATCTTTATCAGCATCAGATGTTAGAACAAGGCATTGGTTTCTAACATTACCATATCTGATCGCTTAACAATCCTTTAGACTATAACTACCATATACACCCAGGTATCTTGTCTTAATGACAATCAATATTTATACAATAAATTGGAGGGAAATGTAAAGCATTAATATGATGGCAATACAATTGTTCAGTGGTTTATAAATATAGTTGCATGTTTGATATTTCTCCAGGTCTCTCTAACAGACTTGGTTTTAAAACTTGTATATCAGTCAACCCGTGCATTTAAATGTAAGATATACATTTGACTTCGGGACGACGTGAAAACAGGATCAGAACTAGAAATACCTGGAATTGTGTAAGATTTGGCATCATACCTTAATCCCTTATCCTACTAAACAATGGATTGTAAACTGAGATTATAGGGTCGCAAGAAACAAACTTGACTTCATTATCCATGTTCGACAGTGAGTGTACGGACACTTTATGCATTTATTTTAAAAGTATGTTGTAACCAACTGCGAGAGTTGAATATTATTGAGCGTTGTAAAATGTGTTGTTTTTTTTTTACTTGCCATTATAATAAAAATTCTGTAGCATTTATGGAAATGACTTTTCGGTTGTTGACAAATATTTTAATCGATTCTTTTATAACTCTTTTTGCCATGTTTACTGCTCTGTTGTTGCAGATCAGACGCATTAGTTTTTAAAACGGTTCTCTTCAGAGTGCATAAACCATAAACTTCCAATAACCAACAATTATGCATATAAGCAATACGAACTGGTAGGTCGCGACAACGAAGGATTGCACTTAGGTGTACAATAAGGTTCCCATTAAAATCATCATCAACAGCAGTAGCCAGAATATATCTTCTCTTTTATAACTTAACAGACAAAAAACAGCTTTTGTACGTATTTACACTTAAAGGACGGAGAATTACGCTTATAATTCACGTTTAACAATGAGGGACTACGTTGATCTTTGAAGATATCCTAACTAATATCCTCCGTTATTTCCTTTTATGAGCATTATACGATGAGGGGAT